ACCAACAGTTCTGGATTATGAGGGGTATGTCAGACTGCCGGTCTGACCGGCAGTCGGACATCCCCTGAGGGGTCCCAGATTAGAAAGGGTGTGGGCTGGGCTGAGGGACACCCCCCAGTGCATGAATTTTGTGCACCGGGCCTCTAGTTAGTATGTAAAAATATAACTGGTTTCTTTTTAAAAAATATGTTTGCACTGATTTTAGAGAGAGAAGAAGGAAGAAGGATAGATATAAATATCGATGAGAGAGAAACATCTATCTGCTGCTTCCTATTACCCTCCCCTCCTCCCCCACTGGAATTGAACCAGCTACCTCTTGATTCTTGTGTCAATGCTCAATCACTGACCCACACTGGCCAGGCCAAAACTGATTTATTTTCTTTTATGAAAAATATTTTTATTGATTTCAGGGAGAGAGAGAGAGAGATAAAAACATAAATGATGAGAAAGAATCATTGATTGACTGCCTTCTACACACCCTACACTGGGGATTGAACCCACAACCCTGTCATATGCCCATGACCTGAATTGAACCCAGGACCCTTTAGCCCTTCAGTCCACAGGCTGATGCTCTAACCACTGAGCAAAACCAGCTAGGGCCACAACTGATTTCATATATTAATTTTGTGTTCTGCAACTTTGCTGAATTCATTTTTTAGTTCTCATAGTTTTTGGTGAAGATTTTTAGGGGTTTCTATATATAGTATTATATTATCTGCAAATAGTGACAGTATAATTATTTGTAGTAATCTTTTATGATTCCTTGTATTTCTGTGGTGTCAGTTGAAACTTTACCACTTTATTTCCCATTTTATTTATTTGAGTCCTTTCCCTTTTTTTCTTTATGATTCTGGTTAAAAGTTTATCAATTTTTTTTTCTTTTCAAAACAGCCAGCTCTAGATTCATTGATCTTTTCTATTGTTTTCTAAAGTCTGTATTACATTTATTTCTGCTCTGATCTTTATTATATCCTTCTTTATAATAACTTTTGGCTTTGTTTTTCCTTTCTTTTCTAGTTGTCCTAGGTGTAAGGTTATATTTGTTATTTGAGATTTTTCTTGTTTTTTGAGGTCGGACTGTATATCACTATGAACTTCAATCTTAGAACTGTTTTTGCTGTGTCCCATAGATTTTAGAATGTTGTGTTTTCACTTTCATTTGTCTTAAGATATTTTTCTTTTTCTTTGATTTATTTGTTAACCCATTAATCATTAAGTAGCATATTGTTTAGCTCCATGTGTTTGTGCTTTTTCATTTTTTCTTGTAATTGGTTTCTAGTTTCATACCATTGTGGTCTGAGACACTTGATATTATTTTATTCTTGAACTAGTGACCTGGTGCATGGATTCATGCACACTGAAAGGAAATTAATTAGAAGGTGGCTGGTGGAGTGGGACTGGATGAAACCAGCTGGCCACACCCTGGAGCCAACCTCCCACCCTCCCACCATCTCTCCCGGGTGTCTGCCGAGTGAGCAGAGTCCCTCCAGCAGTTGGGGCTCTCCAGCTGGCCTGTGGGGATTGGGCCAAAACTGGCTCTCTGATATCCCCCATGGGGTCCCGGAGAACCAGAGGGCACTTTACAAAGTTGCAGTCATACAGGGTGTGGAACATGAATGCAAGTGTGCAGTAAACCAGATTCAGGGCTGACAGTACCCCAGCAACAACATAACCCATGGCCGAAGGTGGAATCATGCCGCCCCATGAGGAATCGAGCTTCCTCCTCTCTCATTTTGGGGTGTGTCACTCAAGAACTGCTGCCATCACTGCAGCTTGGCAGCTCCTGTGTTGAGTGTGCATCATAGAGACTGGTTGAACAGTAGGAGGGACACTTAGCATATTAGCCATATATATATATATATATATATATATATATATATATATATATATATATATATATAAATTGAGAATTGTCTGTGGCCTAATGTGGTCTATCTTGGAGAATGTTCCAGTGCTTCTTGGGACTTGGATGCCTATTTCCTTTGCCAGGTTAGGGAAGTTTTTGTTTTTGTCCTTTTCCCTCTCTTCTCCTGGGACTCTCTAATGCCAATGGTAGAATGCCTAATTTTGTCTCAGAGGACCCTTACACTCTCCTCATTTTGAAAATTTATTTTTGATTTTCCAATTCAGTGATTTCCACTATTTTGTCTACCATATAGCTTACCTGTTTTTCTGCCTCATATTTGCTATTGATATTCTCTAGTATATTTTTCTTCAATTATTGTATTATTTCGTTCTGGTATTTTTATCTTTATTGAAGTTTTCCCTGTATTTATCTATCCATCTCCCAAGTTTGGTGAGCACTCTCATGACCATTACTTTGAACTTTTTATATGGTTGATTGCCTGTTTCCACTTCATTTAGTTCTTTTCTTAGGTTTTGTCTTATTTTCTAATATGGAAGAAATTTTGTGTCTCCTCATTTGGCCTAAGACTGTTTCTGTGTATTAGGTATGACTCACGGTATTGGAAGAGTGAACTTATATATAAGGTGTCAGTAATGCAACCCCATGGTCAACAGTGCCCGGTTTTCCAGGGAATCCCCTGTGTGGGCTGTGTATGCTCTTGAGCTTGGGTTGCAACTGTTGAAGGCACTGTGTTCGGTAGGTTGGTCTGAAGCTCATTTGTCTGATGGCCTGGCCTTCTGAATGGTAGTGGGGGGTTGAGCTGGCCTCTGCCCTGGCCTGCTGCCACAGTTGCTGGTGTACAGAGCAGCTTCCAGGGTGGAAGGCTGAGACCTGGTCACTATTATTGTGGGTACATTAGTGCATGGGGTATGGCCCCTCAACCCCACTTTGGGGATGTTCCCAGCCATCTCCAGGAGGTGGGGACAGAGCTCCTCATTTCCAGGCCCCCTGGGCTGCCACTGAGTTCTAGGGCGGGGAGCAGAGTGCTGCTTTGGAAGATGGTTGGCTGGGTAGGTCCTCAGGGGAATGCTGAGTGGAATGGTTAGCACAATGGAGAGTGTCAGGCAGGCTGGAGAGCAGAGAGCAAACATAATAAACAAGGAGAGAAAGCCACTTACTATTCCCAGAGAGAGCCCACCAAATCCCTCCGGTCACCCTAAAATCAGGGAATATATCTCTTTCACGAATGACCCCTGTGCTTTGACTCAGAATGAGTGACTTGTGCACAGGCCCAGGGAGGGAGGGTGCTCGCTTTCCCAGAGCCCTCAGTTTCTGGAACACAAGCCTTGCTGGTTCTCACAACCAGATGTTAGGGGCTCCTCCTCCTGGAGCAGGTCCCCGCTGGAGAGCCTGAGGTGGGCCAGACGCCTCACTCCTCCAGCGGCCTCCAGGCTGTGCTAGCCCTCCCACTGTGGAATGCCTCTGCTGACCCCTTACCCATCGTGATGTGGCTTTTTCTCTATAGTTTCGGTTGTAGAGAGTGTGTTCTGCAGTTAGTTTTAATGTACTGACGGGAGGAGGTGAGCCCAAGATCTTCCTGCTCTGTCACCTTGACCTCACCTCTCTCCTCCGACATTGTTATATATAGCCTATGTAATAAAAGCCCCGTCACCATTACAGCACAACAACCAGGACGACCAGTCGACCAGTCGACCAGTCGCTATGATGAGCACTGACCACCAGGGGCCAGATGCTCAATGCAGGAAGAGGGGGAGGGAGGCACAGTGAGGCCTGGAGGCACATGCTATGGACCAGGGATCTCAGGAACCGCAAGCCCAGAGCTTGCTTTCCAGTAAAAAAAATAAATTGGAGAAAAAAAAAAAAAAAAAGCAGCTGATGCTGCCACACTGGGAAGAAGGACTCCAGGAGGGAAAGGCCTCCTCAGGCTCCACCAGCTTGGCTGGCACTCTGCTGGCCTGTGGGGACTCACTGGTGAGGTGCAGGAAGTGCAGCCCCTCCGACTCCATAGCTGGTCGCACCGACAGCTGCTCCCTGTCCAGCTCCATGGTGGACACAGCGCTGCAGGACCACCTCAGCTCCCACTTCCGGCTTCTGGCTTCCTGCCTGCCCCTTCGTATACTATGTGTGCTTGGTCGTGGCTTCGGCCTCCCAGCCAATAGCATTGCAGCACAGCCAGAGAGCAGCAGGACACAGCCACCAGGGCTGGCTGGGCATTGATTTGGCCTCAGAATGTCGTCCATGTGCAGTCACACTGTATGTTTACATTTGTAGGGAAGCAGGGCAGCCCACTCTTTTAGGCTAAGAAAGGCCAGCTGATCTCCGTGTTTCTCTCCCCGTCCGGAATCAAAACCTCTTGGGGATGAATAATCCCAGGGATGTCCCCAAAATGTACTCGGTGTCACTGTCACAGACATTCCCCGTCATTACAGCCCATTCCTTAACCTGCAGTGCCCTGCACCACCCACTGCTACTCCTCACCTGTCACCCCCTGAGGACCACCTTATGTTACCCTATCTGAAATGTGAGCAAGATCTCAAATGCCCCCTGTCAATAGCTCCCTTGCACTACCTTTCTTCCTCTAAAAACCTTGCATTTTAAGATATGATTGATTTGACTGATTTCAGACATGGAAATAAAGATAGAAGTATCAATGATGATAGAGAATCATTGATTTGCTACCTCCTGGGATTGAAACCTCTCCTGGCCCCTCCTTCCACGCCTCCCCTGGTCAGAAGGCCCCCAGTGGTGGCACGGCACTGAGCGAAGGGGGGGGAAAGTGGGGAACCATGGGGTGGTGGGGTTCTAAGGGCAGCGTTGGTGTTTGGCATCTGTTCCTTCTGTACCCGGCCTGGGGACCGCCACCTCCTCTCCTGACTCCGCCAGGGCCTTTGGGCTCTGATTGGCCTGGCCCTGATCACCTGTTAGGCCTATGGACCCCACCTGTGCATGATTTCTTGCACCAGACCTCTAGTTTGCATGTGAAATTGCACCAAAATAAAAAGTTGCAAAGATTCTTAGGCAGCATAGGAAGTTGGAAAATGTAGTTATGGTGTCATTCTTGTTCTTGGTGGTGTCCTTTCCTCATAACAGCCCCGGGTCTGTAAAACCGCCCTCCCCCCCCATTACCTACCAGGTCAGCATCAAGTCCAGCAGGGGACCTGTGAGGTGGTGGCTGTGCTGTAACAGAAACCACATAGAAGAGCGATCACAAACAGTCAAGTGTTCATGCTTCCCGGGACAGGTGGCCGGCACCACTCGGGCTCAGCCTTCCTGTGTTGAAGGTAAGGCCTTCTGGTCTGTTTATCTAATATTGCAGGAAGGACCTACAACTACCAAGAATCTCCCAACTTTACTGTCTTTGTGATGCAAAGAAAACTAGGTTTATTCTAGTTCAGTGTTACTTCAAACATGAACATAAATATAACTCCACAAATTTCATAATTAGTAAGGTAGATTAGTAATGATGTCTCTTAAGTGGGAGTTCCATTACTGGACAGTGAGGAAGATGTGCTTTGACTTCTTCTGACCCATTATCCCATCTGCTTCCTTAGACGCTCTTCTTCCTGCTCTCAAACGCTGGACTCAGCCTGGTTTTCTCACCTTATGTTAATATTATAGGCAAGTATTTTCTTAATTTCTAGTTTATTATTATTTTAACATACATTATAAAGCATCTTCTTTGGTGCAACTTCTCAGAGAACAATTTGGGATTGTGTATTACTCATTTGTTGTCTCCAAATCGTAGCAGAATACTATGCCTAGCAGAGTGAAGGATTCCTTTTGATGTCCTGCCTTTTCCCAGGAGACACCTTGTTAGAAACACGAGTTCCCAGGAGAACAGCTTAAGTCTTATAGAGTTTCTTTACAGTGGCATGAAACCTCCCAGAAAATGAACTCTTCCAGGCTTATCTGATACACATGTAAAGGTTGGCAGTTCAAGCACATGTGCACCACACACAGACACACATGCACACAGACACATGCCCCCATACATGGACACATGCACACATATTCTTTTTTAAAATATATATTTTATTGATTTTTTTAGAGAGGAAGGGAGAAGGATAGAGAATTAGAAACATCGATGAGAAATATCGATCAGCTGCCTCTTGCACATCCCCTAATGGGGATGTGTCCGCAACCAAGGTACATCCCCTTGACTTGAATCAAACCTGGGACCCTTCAGTTTGCAGGCTGATGCTCTATCCACTGAGCAATACCTGTTAGGGCCATATTCTTAACTACAGATCTATTGCACAATCAATGATAATAGCTGACCTCTATCCTCCAGGCACATCTTTATGGGCTGTTTGCTCACCAGTGGTGTTGTATCAGTGTAATCTCAGTTACTCTAAAGCTGGAGAGGGAACTTGGAAAATTTCCCTTCTATGTTTTTTTTGTCAGAAACCCTGAGAGCCAAATGTGTCGCCAAATTCATGTGTCATCAGATTTTTTATGAAGGTAACATAGTGCATATACCATCTATTACATAATAAACCCTCTGTCTTCTTCAGTTGCACCCCGTAATCACAGATATTAATATATCTACAGTGAGGTTTATGATGGTCATGCAGAATGGGGCTTCATGCTAATTCAAGTCAGGTTTTGCTGCCATCTTACAGAAATCCTTTTCATTTTCAGAGCTTTTTGGATTTGAGGATTATAGGTGTACCTGTGAAAAAAGGTAAAGATCTTTAACACTAAAAATGCATATAAAAGAAATTTGCTAAATTCCTATATCCCCAACTGGAACAGTGTATTATATTTCCTCCATCAACTGAAGCCAAGTCATAAGTATTCTGTCTCCTTGCTCTCTCAGGTCAGTTCACTTTCCTCCACCCCACTGTCACCCCCACAGTCGGGGCAACACCACATCCTGCTGAGCTTTCTAACCCCCAGGTTCCATTCCCCACCCTGTAACAAGAATGATGCTTCCAGAAAACAGAACTGATCATATCACTGTTATTCTTGAAACCAGTTTGGTGACTTCCAGCTGTTTGAAGAATAAAATCTACCTTTGGCTACTAAGTCTTATATGTCTAAATCATGTTTTACAATAATACAAAAGTATTTTTATTTTAACCCTCACATGAGGATATGTTTATTGATTTTAGAGAGACAGGAATCAGGGAGAGAGAGTGAGAGAAAAACATTGATGTGAGAGAGCAACATGAATCTATTGCTCCTGTATGCTTCCCAGCATGTTATTGAACCTACAGCCTAGGTCTTGCCCTAACTGGGAATTGAACCCACCTCCTGTTGGTGTATATGGCTACACTCCTTTTAATAAAGCTACTTGACCAGGGAAATACTCAGAGTGTTGGTACCTGGAAAATAGGAATGGCATAGCAATTACTATTAGCATATTTCTCTTGGTAAAGGGAACATTAATACCTTATCCTAAATTTGCTTGTTTTATATTTGAGCAAAATGCCCTTTGGCCACCACCCTAAAGCTACATTTTTCTGTTTGGACGATATATTTTTCTGTATATAAGTGTGGTTAAGATAGATTTGTGGAAAATGTGGTAGTTTTTTATATGTATGTGTTGTACACAAATAGTATCACACTGGATACTTCTTAATCCCACCTGCTTTAGTCAATGGATAGGCCATAATGCCATACAAACGTTCTTATACCGAAGGGACATTTTGGTTGTGTCTGTGGCAAATCAGCAGCCTCACTGGCCAACTGCCTGATTTTCCTAATGTCATGAGGCCAGGAGGTGATGGGGACCGATTATGGGGTGTCTGAGCAGAGAGTGAGCAGCAGAACCTTCTGTGATGAGGCACGTGTTCTCCTTTGGATCTCTGCACCCATGTGTCGTGATGCGGGTGTGGCCAGGATGGTTGGCAGTGACTAACCACATGTGGCCACCGACTATTTGAAGTGTGATTAATTCAAAATGAGCATTTGAAATATGACTAGTACCAATTTAAATGGAAATTTTTGACTAGCTGTGCCTAGTGCAGGGTAAGTTTTATGTAAATATATAACTTCAGAGCATCATTTGTGGCCAGAGAACACCCAAACTCTGAAAGATGGGTTGAGATTTTGTCTGTGTATTTGTGTCCCTGCACTTGGCATTGCCCGGCAAACAGTTGGTGTTCAATACATGTTTACTGGATCACAGTCACTGAGGAGGCAGGAAGTTGTAGTTCAGGCTTTAGTGAGGATATATTTCTGTTTTCACATCCCCCTAATCTTCTAGTCATTAACTGAATATATTTCCATTAGGGCTTTTTAGTTTTACCTGCTTAATCTTTATCCCATAATAATGATGCAGTATCATGCTGCTAATTGGCTTGTGGAAAGACCTGGTCTCTGCTGATAGGTTCCTCTTCTCTTATTTGTCAAAAGAATAAAGTTTCTCTGATCTTATTTGTCAATAAGAATAGAGAGGAGCTGAAATATAAAATTCATTTCAATTTACATTTAAATTAAAACAAAGGTGAGAACATGCTGGCACAGGCACTAATTAATGTTGGCATAGAAAGTAGAACAGCCTCATGCATTTTTATTAATCCACATCTCATTTTGTTCATTGCTTTTACATAAAATTATAGCTTTTATGAGTTAAACAGGGAGAACAATTAGCTGCCCCCCATAAAGCTTTTTTGTTATAATGAATTTGTGAATCTCCCTGAATTATTGAAGTGTGTCTTTAATACACATTTGGGATTTGGGAGAAGGTCTGGGAATTTCTCGATTGAGGCTGTGCTTCCCTGGGTCCTGAAACAGACAACTGTTCAGCTGGCCAGCATTCCCCTTTGGATCTTCTCCCGCACTCACAGGCTGTTCGGTGGTGGGAACTGCATTCTACACAGCTCTACAGGGATCACGTGAGTGGTTTCATGATAAAATGAGATAAATGAGTAGTACAATGAAGCTTTATTTTTTTCAAAGGGAATGCTTTTTAAACAGTGAGTTTAAAAAGATTAATAAAACAGGCTTAAGAATGGGAGGCAGTTTCTTTATAAACTTTTTCTTTTTTTAAGGAAATATTTTTATTGATTTTAGAGAGGAAGGGAGAGGGAGAGATAGAAACATCAATGATGAGAGAGAATTATTGATTGCTGCCTCTTGCATGCCCCCTACTGGGGATCAGCCTGCAACCCGGGCATGTGCCCTTGACCATTATCAAACCTGGGACCCTTCAGTCTGAAGGTCGATGCTCTAGCCACTGAGCAAAACTATCCAGTGAAACTTTTTTTTTTTTCTTTGATGATACCTGAGTTTTTCTCAGATGTAGGAACTTGCTTGCTTTGGGATGAGAGTACTGTTCGCACTGGAGGCAATGTCTGTAGCTCCGACTGTGTGAGACTCAGGTCTGTCTTACAGCTGTGATTTCCCAGGGGTTTTTCACTGCGTGTGGTCTCCCTGGCACTGACGATGGAACAGGGTTCTGGGCTTTCTCCGGTCGCCAGGGGAATGCCAGCAAGGTGTACTTTGCAGACTCACTCTGTGAGCTGGACAAATGTGGCTTGCATGTGTGAGTTCATTCATCAACTTTTCATTTAGCACCTTGGTGCCTGGCGTGCCCTAGATGCCAGGGGAGGATGGTCCTGCTTTCAAAGACCATCCCACACTTTCCTCAGGAGATGGACAATTGAATTCTAGTCTGCGAATGGCTCTGGGCAGAGCAGAGAAGAGGAGCAGTGGGGAGACCTCACCAGGTTGGAGGGATCTGGGCAGCACAGCCAGGTGAAGTGCCTGAGAATGAGTGGGCCACCTCGGGAGGTGGAAGAAGTGCAGACTGGCTTGGACAGGGCAGGGGACAAGCCTGAAGGTGTAAACAGAGCCATATTAGAGGCCTTAGATACAATCACATTTTAAAGTTTAATGGCCACCTGGGAATTTGTATTCTGGATTGGATGAAGCAGAGGATGCCAATATAAAAGGGCATGGAATGCTGTGAACACAGTTCACTAAAACAACCCAAGATTCCTGAGAGCATAGGTTTCTAAGCATTAGGCTTATGGCATTGCCCGCCCTGGGGGCATGGAGGAAGACCAGGGGCTGTGGGGCTTAGTCTACCATGGAGTAGGCATCTTTTAACAAGCCCCAGTTTAATGAGGTCTGATGAACAGCTAAGCCTCTCATTTGGGCTGAGTATCCTATATAATAAAAGGCTAGGAGGAATGACTGGTCACTATGATGTGCACCGACCACCAGGGGGCAGAGGCTCAACATAGGAGCTGACCCTTGCTCATGGCTGGCAAGCACAGCAGTGGTGGCAGGAGCCTCTCCCGCCTCTGTGGCAGCGCTAAGGATGTCCGACTGCCCACTTAGGTCTGGGGAGCAGATATCCCCTGAGGGCTCCTGGACTGTGAAAGGGTATAGGCTGAGCTGAGAGATCCCCCGACATTCCCCCCTGCCCCCCCCCAATCCCCGAGTACATGAATGTTATGCGCTGGACCTCTAGTATCTAATAACCACAAATAATGTTTTTCAATATCCAACAATGTCTCAAGACACTTTGGGTTGTTACCCTGGGGTAGAGGGTGCTGCTGTCATTGGGGAGGTGGGGGCCAGGCAGGCTGCTCAACATCTAACAAGGCACAGGATAGACTCTCGCAATAAGGGACTATTGGCCCCAAATGTCAATAGTGCCAAGGTCCAGAAACCCTGCCGTGGAGGTCCTCACTCCAGGGGTATGTACTTGTGTGAAGGGGCACTTTGCCAAGGAGGACACAAAGGGTCCGGCCTTGCGTCCCACCACGCCCCTCAGTGCCCTGTGCTCAGTGTGGAATGACAGCAGCAAGTGTGGAGCGGGAAAGAGTAAGATTCCCACAGCAACATCCTAGCTGTCATGACAGCGTTTGTGCTTGTTCCCTGTCAGGTTGGCATGGCTTTTTGTCTTAAAAAAGAAAAGAAATACACATCGGCAGGGCTTGCCACCTAGCAATCCTAAAAATTAATTAATGGCTTAATTTTTTGAAGAAGATTGTGAGTGTCTTGAAATAACAATGGTGACAGCAAAATAGCTAAAGCAGAAACATAGAACCTCAGAGAGTATTCTGGTGGCTCCTTCCATTTTCCAGGTGATATATGACCCAGGAAGATGTTTTCTGCATCTTCCTGTCAGGTGTTAGGGTGAGAATACCTCTTTCTTTGGGAAAGCCTTAACTCTGTAAGTACCACTGAGCTAAGTCAACAAACGGGAGGCCAGCCCTGGAGCAGTGAGCCTGTTCGCTGTTAGTCTTATTCAAAGGTGGGCTTATCTAGGTAGCTACATAGACCATATTGTAAGGTGAGCTTAATGGAATGGTATTTGAGATAAGGAATAGAAAACAACCAAAACCCTCAATGCATTTGATCCATCAGAGAGCAAAGAAAATACACCAGAAGCAAACTAGCGGATTGGACACATTCCTTTCCCCTGGAACATTTATAGAAAGTACCAGTCACTTCCCCAAAACCAGGGTCTCGCTGTCTTTTTCTTCCTTTCTGTATAACATTTGAAACTTATTACAAATTGGCATCTTTATGGTTTCATAAGTAAGGAAGGCATGAGGATTTTGAAATAATTTAAAACAAATAGAAGTGGCAAGACATTCTCCTTTAAAGTATGTTAATGTATCAACAGAAAACAAAGTAAGCCTCCTGCAGATGTATTTCCTGTGGAGATGGGCTCAGGAAGGGGGGCAGCGCTCGGCGGTAGGTTTAGTGGAACCCCTCTCCTGTCCCCCGCCTCAGCCTGGCCCTGCACAGAGTGGCCGGACCTTCAGCCCAGGCTGTTCATCCCCTGCTCACCCAGGGCACACTCGGGGTTGGTCCGCACCTATGTGTGAGCTCCTTAGTCAATCTTTAATTCATAAAGAAACGTGCTAATTCACACAGGAATGAGCTAATTCACAAAGAAATGTGCTAATTCATGAAGGAATGTGCTAATTCATAAAGGAGAGTACAGCTCTCAGTTTGGCTCTTGTGGTGGCACTTATTGTCTTTTCTGAGAGAACATTTGTTCTGAGTCTTGCACATGAAGCTAGTCGGGGAGCAGGCACCTGCCCGGGCTCCGCCCTCTGTGCGCCCTGCAGGAGGCAGGACAGGCCTCTGCAGTGGAAACACACTCCGTCCAGGCAGCTCGCTCTCTTGCGGAGGCTCTGCGAGTCTGTCTCTGGAGAGCCAGTTCATGTTTTCCAATAAATAAAACTAAAATTATTTCCAATAATTTCATAAGAGCTTGATCGTATATACTTCCTTGTAAATTCATTAAATTCAATGTAAAGCTTTAGACAAAATGCTAGGAAAACAGTATTCTTTTCTGTAGTTAAGAACTGACATGTTTTTTCTATGATGAATGCCTGAATCCATCCATCATGTCCTCTCCTCCAGCACCTTTGCAGGGGGCTGGCCTGAGAGTGTTCTTGGTCCCACAGGTCAGTAGGAAGCACTGGCATTTCTCTGCCGCGAAGTGGAGAGAATGTGAGGCACTCTGTTTCCTCTGCAAAGAATGGGTCCCCAGACTCCTCCCTGCACTCCTCCCTTTGGACTGTAAAGTGGTCTGACAGCCTCTGCCTGCTGACCTTCTGAGACGCATGCCTCACCTGTTCTTATCTTTCACACCCTTTCTGCCCGCATCCTTCCCTACTGCCTGCCAGGCGGACTCAGGTTTCCTGGCTCACTGCCCTGCCATTCTCACTGCCCTGTCCCTGGCTCCCTCCTGCGCGGAGAGCCCGGTTCAATCTAAACCCGCCTCGGAGCCCCTGGAGATGGCTTTTTAGACCACCCTCCTTGGCTGAGTGCCCGGTGCAGCCTTGCCGACCCTTCCCTTCGGCTGCATGGTCTGCTGGCTTCCGGGGTGGCCACTCACTGTCCCACCCTCCTCCTGCCCACAGGACAGTCACTGACCACGTGCTCATCGAGGCTTCTTCTGACCGTCCACATGGCTCTGATTCCTCTCAAGAGTATTGAGTCCCCTGCTGAGTGAGAGCCAGGGTCTCGGGAACAGTTTTAAAGAGAAGATAAAGCACTTTAGATTCAGCTTTAAAGCTGTATAAATATAACCGAGTTCTGTCAACATTTATGGAACTTCTCCAGTCCTGCAGGTGGTATTTTAAGTTGAGGGTTGAGAACCATCTTTTGTCTTTATAGCCACTTGGGACCAACCCAGGGCATTCAGGAATAATGACTCAGTGGCCGCTCGGCCAGACACAGGGGAACACTTGTCAATCTCAGCTGCTGTACAGTGCGGCCTAGGAGACAGATGGGTGGAGAGAGAGCGCCAGAATCTACTGCCTCCTCTCTCATTTAACTCAATTACCCAAAGCTCTGGTGCTTATTCCTGCAATCTTCTACTTCCACTTCCTGCTTCTGGGGTTGTTGGGACAATCAAAAGAGGAACAGCAGGCAAAAGTGCTTTGAAATGACAAAACTCCATCTAGTTTGAAGAGGAGAGTATTGTGATATCTGGGGCTGAGAAGAATACTTGTTCTCAGATTCCCTCGATGTGTCCAGTGGTGGTCTCTTTCTCAGAAAAAAAAAAATAACCCATTCAGCTATGTTCCCTCTCAGTGTTGGCGCCTTCTGACTTAACTAGCTAGCAAGTTAAGTCAGACTTATCTGAGATCTGACTTATCTCAGATCGTAAAATGGCCTTACTCAGGTTATTGGTTTTGATGGGACCGATGGGATAGGAACTCAGGATTTGGCCAGAACCAAGAATGATGGCCACCTTTTTGTATCAGGGTAGATGCAGGGGCCACCGCAGCTGATAATGAAATCATGCTGCGCCCTCATCACCTGCACTGCAGTCACCTGACAGAGGAGCCTGCATGTACTGGCTCCCTGGGTCACCTGCTTGCATCCCTGATTCCACACAAGTGATCTCTGATGTGAGGGAGCAGCTTATACAGCGGTGGACAAAGGGAAGCATACAGTTCATGTGGAAAATAATACAGTAATTAATAAATAGCAATATAAGAATAAGCTCTGTTTCGTGTACTCACACCTGTAGGCTTGCTTTCGCCCACCTGTATTTCCAGGTTGGAGCATGGGTGCAGGGTCAGATTGCCTCCATTCAATGTTGCTTGACTCTCTTCAAACTATGTGACTTTGGACCAGTCATCATCTCTGGGCTTTGGTTTTCTCTTCTCTGTAGAATGCAAGAAGATAATTTTTAACCTCAGAGGTACAGCTATGTTGAAATTAGCTGAATCCCACCTCCACCAATCCCAATTACCATGTCAAATTTTCAAGAAAAGGATTTATAAAGATTTGTTTGAACTTGAATTTCATATTTCTCAGGCACTAGTAGTTTAAGTGAAATCCAATGGAGGATGTTTTCTATTAGCATTGCTGTTTCAACAAGAAAAATAGGGCTAAGAGTCTTTCTATTTCTTTCCCTGCCCTTCCAGCTTCCCCCGCCCCAGCATCCTATCTGATACCAGCCTATTGGCTGGGCTCACCCTTAAAAATCAGTCACAATCCTTTTGCCCTTTGATTCTGTGTGAACAACCAGTCAAGTTGATGGTACTTTCTTCACTTTTCTTCTGCTTCTAAACCCTGAGAACTGGGGTGCTACTTTCTGCTCCATGGGCTTAAAACACAAATGCTTTTATTGGTTGACCCCTGCCAGCACGGTGAGGTAAAAGGAAGTGAACTCACAGGTGAGCTGGCTGGTCTAGAAAGTGGCCACTGAGGGGCTATTGGGGCCGCCCATGTTGCAGTGCTCAGCACCAGCTGGGAGGGTTAGAAATGTTGACTGCTGTTAGCCTTTGCTATTGACAACATAAACCACTAAACATAACTTTGCACCATCAACATGCAACCTACCACCCAAGATGAGGACCACAGCAAGAGTTAACACTTTCTGAGAATGTAAGGGAATGCCCCAAAGCCAGCATGAATTAACTTTGTCCTTGCCATCCTGTGGCGAGGTTCTGCTTTCACCCCCATTTTACAGATGAAGAAAATGAGGTGGAGAGGAATATGATAATGAGTCCAATGTCACTTGTAACAAGTGTCACAGACAGGTTCAGACAGAAGTGTGAGGTCTCACTAACTCCACATGTCAGTGAGGTCAGTGTGCTGAGCTTCATGTGTCCACATTTGCAGGAAGAAACAGTGTCACAGGCATTATTGGGCCTTTGTTTTCCAGCTTCCATCGTGGTTCAGAAGTGGTGGTGTCACATGGATCCCTGTTTGGAAGGAGAGGACTGCAAAGTGCTTCCAGATGACTCAGGTTGGGCCTGTAGCAGTGGCAATAAAGTCAAAACTACAAAGGCAAGTGTAGACAAAGCGGCCGGAGGTGCAACCTCAGTACTATTAGCCATGGTCCTCTTTGGTGTTATCTGGCCATTGATTAGATTGGCAAACTTGCCTGGGCAATGCCACCCCATCTGTGACTTTGGCCTTTCTGGAATGTCCTTTCCCCAGCATAACTCTTTATGTCAGACTAGAGGCCCAGTGCATGAAATTTGCAGGATCCCTAGACTTAGCCGGTGATCAGGGCTGATCCGGGCCTTCCTGCTGCCTGTTGAGGCTTTCCTTCTCCAGTTGCTGGCTGCTGGCTGCTGGCTGGGGCCTTCCTTCATTCTGTGCCGCCCCCTGGTGGTCAGCATATGTCACAGCAAGTGATTGAACTCCCAGTCTCCTGGTCAAACTCCTGAGGGACATTTTGCATATTAGCCTTTTATCTATATAGATTATACTGAACAGTGACTAGGACAAATAAGCTGATGTAATATTTTATATCCAGTGAAGTGGGAGGTCATGGAGTCATTGTCGGTGGAGGAAGGAGGTTAACACTTCCATCATTTCCAGGGCTCCACCTCTAAGCCAATCCCTGTCCACTGCCAACCTGTGTAAACTCTGTGTGCTTGCTAAGCACACCTCACCTTAAAAGAATCCCATTGTCCTTTCCCCAGTGGCCCCTTTAAGCCATTTCCCTAACCCCTTCCTAAATAAAAAAAACTTGGTGTTACTGATGACTTAGGGTCGTACATCCATCAATGATAAATTTTTCCCCTCACTGTATTTCTTGTAGACTAAGAAATGGCATTTCAGAAGATTATACTTGTATTGATTTTTACATTTAAATGTGAAACAAGACCATGAGCACAATCCGTGTTCCAGAAAAGAATGTTCCTAAGTAGCCTCTTGCCACAGCACTCCCTCCCTGTTTATGTGCAGCCAGGGAGGGCATTTGCAGGAAGCAGACCTTCAGGGGCATCTTGGCTGTGTGTGGGAGAGATGAGTTTGCTCTCGCTAAATCCTCAACGGAAGTGATATTTCATTTGGCTCTTCGCAAAGTGGTAGAAACATAATACAGTTCCCTAAGCTATCATGATACTTAGCTGCTTTTTTTTTTTTTTTTTTTTTTAGTGATATGCCACCTGAGAATAATCTCATAGTCATAAAACTTTGTTTCCTTTATTAATCCAAGTCAGTGTGACTTGGACTGCATAAAACATTTTATGTCTTTTATGGATTTTATGCGGATACAGTAACTCATTTGTGGAGCACCTCAGCTTCTGTGCAGAGCGTGCACCCACAGAAATAATTTCTGTTTCTTAAAATCAATGCTGACCTTATGCCACCGGTGAGACAGGGGTCATGTGAAGGCTGAGCTGTGGCCTCCCTGGAGGAGGGATATCAGCTACCGAACAACATTGTTCCCACGGTTCATCCATTACAGCATCAAAACAAGGAAGGGCTAATTGTAGGCTTGTCTATAGTAAGCTGCCTATGTTAGAGTTTTATTTTCCTTTAAATCAGTGGTTTAAATCAACCTTTCTAATGCCAAGACCCTTTAATACAGTTCCTCAAGTTGTAGTGACCCCCAACCATAAAATTATTTTTGTTGCTACTTCATAACTATAATTTTGCTACTGTTATGAATTGTAATGTAAATATCTGTGTTTTCCGATGGTCTTAGGTGACCATGCTAGTGGTTCTCAATCTGTGGGTTGTGACCCACAGGTTGAGAACGGCTGCTGTAGAGCCATCCTACCTAATAAAAGAGTAATATGCAAATTAAGCATCACTCCACTACATCAACAAGCCATGCCCAGCAGCTATGCCCACCAGCCAATCAGAGCAAGTATGCAAATAAACCCAACTAAGATGGCTACAGCCACAGAGAACAGAAGGGAGGCTTGGGTTTCCCAGGCAGTGGAGGAAGCCAAACATTTTGCCTGGTGGGATTGGTCCTAAATAGGAAGTTGGACATCCCTTGAGGGGTCCCAGATTGGAGAGGGTTCAGGCTGGACTGAGGACAGCCCCACTCCCCCCGCCCCGCCCCATGCACAAATTTCATGCACCGGGCCTCTAGTATCTGTAATGAAAACACAGATATTTACATTACAATTCATTAACAGTAGCAAAATTACAGTTATGAAGTAGCAATGAAAATAATTTTATGGTTGGGGGTCACTATAACTTGAGAAACTGTATTAAAGAGACTTGGCATTAGAAAGGTTGAGAACTACTGATTTAAAGGAAAATCAAAAAAGAGTAAGCAGTTGAGACATTAACAGCCTTCGCTGATGGTATGGAAATGAGAAGGGACAGTCCTGAAGCAGTCACCTGGTCTTTCCTGTGCATAAAGGTTGGTGTTCGATTTATTCTACCTGTGGGATTTTCAAGGTCCCAAGAGACGGTGCAGTGATTTCTTCTTGTGGGAAAATATAACTACCTCTGCAATCCCACCTCCACTGTCGTGTTCTTAATTCTGAGTTGCATTGCCTTCTCGGTGCTGCATCACGTGCCTAATGTCCACTTAGCACCAAAGCCAGCCATTTGCCAGGACTTTCTGTTATTTGAAAATAGAAGTAAATCATATTGAATTTGCACAATTTTCAGATTTTTACAACAACTACTAAGGGTGAAGAGCTATACTTTAGAGCAGTAGTTTTCAACCAGGGGCTTTTTGCCTTCAAGGGGATATCTGACAGTGTCATCTGGTCCAGGGTCGTTAGTCTGAGAGTGACGGCTTCTGCATTAGAGAACAGTCTACATTTTTAGTAGCTCCTTGCCAGCTCCTACCTGATCCTCCTACTTCATTTTGATGGTTTCTGCTAAGTATCTAAATGTTTCCAGTATTTTACATTGGACAGCTAGAGGTAGGAGTTCTCTGTTGACCTCACCATCTAATCTAAGATGACCAAGTCCTCCTGGTATTGTCATCAGTGGATCCCTTTCTGTCTGTCTCCTAGGCTGTCGCCTTGGGCCATCTGCATCCTCTTTTGCTACCGTGTTATAACAGTTTTGGTAGCCATTGCTACAGAAAAGTCATTTTGGGGACTTGTTAGAAGTGCCCTGTTTGGAACCCCACCCCTCGGATACTCTGGGACAGTCAGCCTGGGTCAGGCCTAGAAAGCCACACAAGCAGAGTTGTTGGGGTGACTCTGATGAACAAGCTGGATGCAGGAAGGGCTGCTTCTCTGAGCTCCCCACCTGCTCTCTGACTTCTCCTCTGCTTCCGGTGCCACCGGAGTTACCTCCCTGCCCAGGTTCTTCCTGGATGAGAGACCATTAATGGGTCCCTAGGTAACAGGTAGAAAAGTATAAGCATTTGGAAAGGAGTCTTCATTTCCACCCACCCAGCAGGCTGTGTGTCCGTGCCCATTGCTTTTTTCTTCACCCTCCTGACCCCTGCCTTCTTCTAAAATTCCTCTTGTCTTTCCAGGTCCAGCTGAGATGGCTTTTTTCCCCTGGGTCTGGTCTTCCCTCATCCTTACGGTCAGAGCGTGAAACACTCAGTCCCCTGTCACAAAACAGGGGAGCTGATGTTGGCATGCTAGCACCCGGATCCACCAACATTCCCAAGTCACATGGACCTTCCTTATACAGTCAGCAAAACCAAGGTTTTACAGGAAAATGAATCCTAAAGAGTCTTCTCCACCCTTCAGCGTAGATGGGCTCCAAAATGAGCTGGGCATGGAGAATGAACTTCCTTAAGGAGGATGCTTTTGAGAGTTACATCCTAGATATATGTCAGCTCTTGGCTGTAAACACTGTTAGGTCATATAGAGAAGATAGGATCCAGAAAGAGCCATTTCCCGGCATCAGCCACATGCCAGTCACTCTTTGGGTCACTGTCTCCTTTACTCTTCACGGCAATGGAGGCGGCAGGTGCATTTCCACACTTAACAGGTGAAGAAGCAAAGAAAGACAGTCCTTCCAGCTCAGGAGATGACTAACTCAGTCAGGATTTTTGAGCCAAAGACTAACTCCTCTTCCTTCCTTCCTTCCTTCCTTCCTTCCTTCCTTCCTTCCTTCCTTCCTTCCTTCCTTCCTTCCTTCCTTTCTTTTTAAAAAAAAATATATTTTATTGATTTTTTACAGAGGGGAAGGGAGAGAGATAGAGAGAGCTAGAAACGTCGATGAGAGACAAACATCGACCAGCTGCCTCTTGCACACCCCCTACTAGGGATGTGCCCGCAACCACTGTACATGCCCTTGACTGGAATCGAATCTGGGACATTTCAGCCCGCAGACTGACGCTCTACCGCTGAGCCAAACCGGTTTCAGCTGATTCCTCTTTCTGTCTCATCCTTCGCTCTATCTGTCAGAAGTCCTGCTGGCTATGCCTTTTCTCATTTCAGTCAAAGTTCCTTTCTTTCAGTTGCATCTGGCTGTGCGCTCCTGTGTCATCTTTGAACCACAGTCAGGGAGAGGCCACTCCCGGGCATGGATCGGGCTTCTTGCAGCCATCTCTCTCCACCTGGAAGGCTCTTCCACAGAGTCGGCACTCTGGCCCCTCCTGCAAGTGCCCCCTGACATCTCCTTTCCTGACAGCCCTCCGCACAGCAGGAGCTTCCCCCTCCTGCCTGTCTGTCTGCCTCATAGTGATCGACTGTCCGCCACACACATGTCACCTCTGACAGACCGTTTACTGGCCTGTTTGTCCAGTACTTTCCTCCAGGAAAGAAGTCAGCAAGCTATGGCTTGCCAGTCCAACCCAGCCCTTGGCCTCTTTGTGGATGGCCTCTGAGCTAAAAAGGGGCTGCACATTTTTTAATGGTTGAAAAAGTAAGAAAGAAGGAACATAATATTTCACAACATAAGAAATTCTACAAAACCCAAATTTCCATGTCCATAAATTAAATTGTATTAGAACAAAGCCATGGCCATTAGTCAATACCGTATTGTCTGTGCTGCTTTTGTGTATGAAGGTGGAATTGTTTAGGGTGAACCTGGGAGCCGGTCTATTGCAGATGCATAAACAAAGGCCTCTCTGTCAGTTAACAGGGAACCTGGGATTTGACTAAAACCTGGTTGGATCTAAAGACCAGCCATGGTGACTATGCTATCAAATAACATCATTTACTTTGAAAATATTTTCCTGGTGGAGGCATATTAAAGTCCTAAGGTTTTTGCCTCTTCCTTCTAGTTGGCGTGTTGATTAACCTGTAAAATTTTTTTATCTAAAAAAATTAAACTATAGAAACTGCTAGTCTGTTTTCTTAGATTTTAAGTGTTGAGCTTGGGTGTTTCAAATGGAAAAACAACAACAAACTTTACACACACACACACACACACACACACACACACATATATATATATATATATATATATATATATATATATATATATATATTTAATACATTTTTTAAATTGATTTCAGGGAGAAAGGGAGAGGGAGAGAGTGATAGAAACATCAATGATGAGAGAGAATCATTGATTGGCTGCCTCCTGCACGCCCCCTACAGGAGACCGAGCCCACAACTCAGGCATGTGCCCTTGAAGGGAATCAAACCTGGGACCTTTCAGTCCGCAGGCTGATGCTCTCTCTATTCACTGAGCCAAACTGGCCACGGCAACAACAAACTATCTAATGGGTGTATCTTTCTGGTAACTACAGCAGTTTCATAAAATAACTTTAAAAAATGCAAGTTAACTACATTAAAAAATAACGAAGGCAACATTTTGGTCTTGACATATGCTGATTTTCATTGGCATTCATTAGACAAAATTCCAGCACCATTAGCAAAGCACGCTCAGCATGTGCGAGCTAGTCCCAGGGGCCTCGCATGGGGTTTTTGTAGCTCCACAAATGCAAAGCAAGGACACATAATAGCACGCGTGGGACCCTTTGTGCATGTTGTCTTTGCAACCTACAAGCAGGAAGCGTAAAGGAGGGTGAAGAGCTGATTTGGGGAGGTTGGTTATGGGGGAAGCTGCCACCTGATAGCCTGCACACGGTGGCAGACAGGGGCGTGGCGGTGTGGGCAGGAAGGAGTATGTTCCGGGGGCCCGGGCATTCAATGCTCACCGTTTAATTTATTTTAGGTCACCCGGTAGCAAAGGGAGGTGCTTCCATCTCGGAGGAGCCACAGCAGGCAGAGCTTCTTGCCTGGATCACTGTCCTGGCCTCCTGTGGGACACTGTCTTGGATTTCGGCGACTTCATCTGGGCCTATGTGTGCTGCGAGGAGTGCACTCAGCTTCCTGCCCCTGCCCCCTCTCTGCTTCATCGTTTTGTCACATTGAATTGTGACATTGAATTGTGGCAGGGGCTGCTGCACAGTGACAGCCTGCTGGCGCTCTGGAGCGTACCTCCACAGAGCTGGGGGAACGAGGAATGCACAGCCGGGAATGGGCCGCCCCGGGAGGACAGCCGCCTTTACAAAGGAGTGTGGATATAGGGTCCACTCCGCCTCCTCTCTCCTCTGACCTGTTCCATTAGCCCTTGCATTAAAGTGCTTTGAAAGGGATCAAAGTAACAAAACCTATTTGCAGATGTAGTTAATAAACGCGGACTCATTAGTGACGAAGATTTATTTTATAAACCTTGAAGAATAGCAGGACTTGCTGGGATTATTGTGTGTGCATTTTGTTTTTGCTTTTGATGATTGAAATTGTTTCTGTTTTAAGTGAGATGTGCAGAACTGAAATGTGGTATTTTAACTGCAGGGCACCGTTGTGCTGAGTGCTAAGGAAGCATAGCGACTCTGATGTTTTATTGCCAAAACTTTGTCTTGAGATATTCACAGAAGAAAGAAAACCCCCTGGGCTTTGTATGGCTAATGTGTACTCACAGGGGTAAACCACTTAAAATGTGAAATAGGCTTAGCTGGTGTGGCCAGTGGTTGGGCATCGACCTATGAACCAGGAGATCATAATTCGGTTCCCGGTCAGGGCACATGCCCAGGTTGTGTGCTTGAACCCCAGTAGGGAGCGTGCTTGAGGCATCTAATTGATGTTTCTATCTCTATCCCTCTCCCTTCTTCTCTGAAATTAAGAAAAATATATTTCAAAAAATAAAATAAAATGTGAAATTGTCTCGGTTTAGATCCAGAGTGACTTCTTAGATCCAACTTGTCAATCATATTAAAATATTTTAACTCCTAGACAGGAATCTTGAAATGCTGAAATTTTAGACTTTAAGTGATTTACTCTTAACATAGCTCTTTTTCTGCTTGTTAGTCATTTTATTTCTTTAATTGGAAGTAAAACCTGGTTCATTTTTTTCTGGTTTGATGATTTTGCAGCAGTCATGTCCCCACATACTCCCAGAAGCTGTTATGAGGAAGTTACTGCAGGTGAAAGAACTGATCCAGATTTCGAATGCATAATGTTATAAAAACACACATACTACTATAATGACATGGGGTAGGTGGTTTTATATATTGAGAAATGCCAGAAACATACTTTCTGTACTATTAGTGATCCCTGTACCCTCACAATTATGGGAAAAATAGCACTGTAATGTTTATAATAGTAACTATTGCATATATTTAATTATATTCTTGCAAAAGGAATCCAAATAGATGATATCCACTTGTTCACTAAGTTTTGTTTGAATTTGACTGACTGGACACTTACCAGAATTGATACTCTGATATTAGTAAGTAAACAATTCATTCTGCTGATGGCTTATGGTGTATAAGTTTTTGTGATTATTTTATTGCCTTGTGTTAACATCATAGCCTTGCAAATTTCAAATGCAAAAGTGAAAAATAACTTTAAAAATAACATTTAATGTTGGGGATGTGAACTATATGTAAAACTTCAGACCTAAATATAGATTACTATTTTATTTTTTCTCCAAACCTATGTAGCATTAGGAGATAAAATCTAGGGAGATTAAGTGTAGGCACATTTAGGAATTTTATACATACTCTGCTGTTTTCAGTATAAGACCCTGCCACCCCATTGCAAGAAAAGAGAGTTAAGAAATAACTACATTTTATTGTACATGAAACACGTCTCAGTCCTTGCCCACACACCAGATCTCGTGCCCCAAATAAAAGCAAGTGAAAAGGCACTGCCTCACCTCCAGGCACATTTCCAGGGTGGAAACACTTCTAGGGATAAATGGGCCATTTGGGAAAATGGCAGGTATCAAAGCGGCACTGCAGCCATTATTGCCGGGAAGCATATTGTGTGCCTCTTTCACAAGTTAGCCCTGAAATGGGGCTTCACGAAGAGCATGTCAATGTTATCATTTCTAGCCCTTTTCTCTTGGGAAGTAGAGAGGACACTCTTCTATGTTTCCCAGAATTTAAAGCAGAGATACCAAGGGAGTCAGGAGGCTTTCAGGCTCTCTAACTACGGCCCAGGTGGTCTCAACACCCCAGATGCTTCCACTCTTATGCTTACAAACCTGACTGCCCAGCGAGAGCTGTCAGCTCAGGCAGTTCTCCCCGAAGAATCAGGGGCCCCCCAATCCCTCACCTGCCCCTCAGTCCAGGTTTGAGGCTCTTCCCTAAGGTCACCTGCCTAGTGCCTGTCCTTAGGGAGGCAGAATTCTGTCCACACATCAAATTCAACAAACACTCACGAACCTTCCCAAGACCCCACTAAGTTGTTGGGGAAGTTGTCTACCCTCACACACACAAGTCCAGTTTTCTTCTTAACCCGAGAGGGCTTATGAATATTCCTATTTTGTTGAAGAGAATTTAGGAGCCAGTGAGAGGAAACCTGCCCATACACAGTAGATACCACTGGAAGTTACACAATGAGGAATCATGACAAAAGGAAGTTGTAGATTTACCTTCCTTCCAGCATTTCTTCAATGACATACACGGCTCTGCATTCTCAGTGTCAGGACAAGGGGCTAGCCTCGCAGTCTGGCCAGCATCTGCCCCACTCCCTCAGGTCGCTCTGTGTATGTCCAGCACCTGAACTCTTTGCCGGTACACCCAGGAGGAAAGTCATGCCGACAGTGTTTAAAATTGAGTAAAATACACACTGTTGAATTTCAACATGAACTTAAAAGATAGCTGTATTTTTTTTTTTCATTAAAGGAGAATATTGGCCTGGGGTAAAATGAAAAAGAATTGAACTGCTCAGCTGTTGGACTTGGACCAGAATCAGCTGTCAGGTTGGATGCACGGCGGTGTGTGGACAGAACCCGGCCCTGCTCTGTGGAGCCTCTGCTCAGAGTCCATTGGTATTTCAATAGGGATTGCATTGAGTCTATAGATTGCTTTCAGTAATATAGACCACATAGCACTACAGACCTACCTAAAACACACACACACACACACACACACACACACACACACACACGAAAAACTGATAATAAGTTATGTAACACTACAACTTAAAAAAATTATGAATAATAAAAGCTTTATATTACAAACCTACAGCCAACATCATACTCAATGGGCAAAAACTAAAACCATTTCCCTAAAGAACAGGAACAAGACAGGGATGCCCTCTTTCACCACTCTTACTCAACATAGTACTAGGAGCCCTAGCCATAGTGATCAGACAAGAAGAAGAAATAAAAGGCATCCAAATTGTAAAGGAGGAAGTAAAACTCTCATTATTCGCAAATTACATGATACTCTACATAGAAAACCCTAAAGGTTCCATAAAAAAACCCCACAATAGATTGAACAAATTAGTTTGGAAACATCGCAGGATACAAAATGAACACCCCCAAAATCCATAGCATTTTTATATTCCAACAGTGATCTCTCAGAGAAACAAAACAAAACAAACAAACAAACAAACAAAAACAAAAATCCAATTTACCATTGCAACAACAAAAAATTAAGATATTTACGAATAAACTTAACCAAGGAAGTAAAAGACTTGTATTCTGAAAACTATAGGACATTGAAAAAAAGATAGATATAAACAACAAATGGAAGGATATACCATATTCATGGATTGGTAGGATAAATATCATTAAAACATCCATATTCCTTACAGGAGTTTTAAAAATAATTTTGTGTCAAAAAATTGTTGACCTGGTGACTGGCAGTTAATAAGCTCTTGATAAAGTTGTGCCTCTTTTGAGAATTTGTAGTCTGTGAAGTCACCTCATACAGAAAGAGAACCACATAGCAGAGCATTGCCTCAAAACTTGATTGTAAGTTTTAAGTGGACACAACTGACAGAAAATTGGGGCCACATAGGACTTGATCTTAATATTTTCTCCTTGTTTGCAACTCAATAAGAACTCTGACAAAGCAGAGCTAGGACAAGCTCAGCAAGGAACTCAAGGAGCATAGCCTCCCCTTGGCCTTGGCTGTTGGTGCGGAATGATGTTGCAGATGCTGCACTCACTTCATGGACAAGTGGGTGTCTGGCCCATGATACCCATCAGGGAAGCTGGAGTATCACTCAAAAGTTGAACAGCTCACAGGCCTCCTGACCGGCCTCTGACCAGGAATGAGAAAGGAATCACATTTCCCCAAACACCCTTCACTCAAGTTTGTCTGGTAAAGTAAGCCCCATCCTGCAGTCACGTGCAAGGAAGTGATCATTTCAAGCTACAAAGTAATGTTGTTAAAGAGAAGCTTTGAACAAAAGAGCCCCTTAAATAATTGATGAACAGCTACTGAAGCATGGTGGGAAGTCTTGGTAATATCGATTCTGGGCTGTGAACACAAATGTCTAATCACTATGATAGGCTCTGCAAGCTCATGCTTTTGGGTTTTCCTTTCTGTCTGGTGCGGTGGATATTCACAGCCTGGTTATGTGTCAGGAATGCAAACTACTATCTTCATGTTCATTTGGGCCCCTGCTCTCTGTGAATAGGGTCCCTGACCTACCCTTTAATTATCAGCATTGATTCTCTTAATGAGGAGTTATCAAAATAGTTTAAGACACTGAATAATTAATTGAATGACTGCAATTAACCATCAGGGAGTGGGAACAAACAAGTAAACTTTGGACTTTTACTTCCAAACCTGAAACCCTAGTCTCCGTAGTTCAGTTTGGGTTGAACTCCCTTGCCCTCTTTTTGAATTTCATCTTCACCTTGGTTTGTCTGACATCTAGTATCTTATAGTCACTTAAACACCATCATAGAAAAAAATAACATGTCCTTGCTATTTTAGCATTGCAGTAGCTGGAAAGAAAACACAAAACATAATCCATAGCTTCCCTCTCGAACACTCTCACACAAATCAATCGAGTGGACTGCTCAGGTCAGGTCAGGTCAGTGGCATGGCTGAAATAGGAATCAGGATAATACTTTGGAATGTTTAAATATTTATGAGTGCCATCTATCTGACAGAAGAAACTGATTCTTACTTAGTGGAACCACTCAGTCTCAGCTTGAGAACAAGTTAGTGACAACTCTGGAAACTGTCAAAGTTAGAAAAAAAAATGGTATTTGATGCTGCCATGTGCTATTTCAATCACTGTCTTTCTGATTCACTACTTGAGCCCAGCTGAAGAGCAGGGATGGGAGGGGATCTTTAAAAGATGCTCTGTCTGATATACTCACGGAAAAGGGACTTCGCCTACAGAAAAGCAATGTAGATGGCTCTGACTAGATGATGTACACACTTGGCTGTAGTTAGAGAGGGAAGTAGAGATTTCAGTGTGATTTTGAAGGACTCTTATTTCACTTCTGATGAGACAGAAGACTAGTGTGGCAGGTTTCTCCCACTTGTTACTCCATCCATCTTCCTGTGGTTTAAAGAAACATGTATTGGCTTCCCTTTTCCCTCCTTTCATCTCAAATGCCAAAAGGGGTCCAAAGTGTGGAGCATTCTGCTCGACTGAGAGTATGGCCTAGAAGGCTGATCTACCCAACAGAAAAATATTTCAAAAAATTAATAGATTTGGCTATATAAAAAGCAAAACCTGTATGTGGCAAAATCACACAAATCAAACTAAAGGACAAATTGGAAACCATATCTACAGCTTTTATGGCAGGCAAAACATTAATTACCACCTAAACAAAGCT